TGAACAGACGTCAAACTACAGTGGGAAGCCTAGGGAGGGTTTGGGGGGGTGGTTAAGAGATCAACCGAAGGACTTATATGCATGCATATAAGAATAACCAATGGACACAAGACACTAGGGGGTAGGGGAGGCCGGGGGAATGTCAAGGGGGGGGGGGGAAGGAGACATATGTAATACTCTGTTGTAATACTTTAAGAAATAAAAATTATTAAAAAAAAAAAAAAAAAAAAGAACTAGTGGACATCACTGACCAGTCTGATACGCAACACAATTCACCACCTACAACCCATGTGAGGCTGTTCTTGCCCACCCACCTTATTCCCAGAAGAGTCAGTAACACCAGTACCTGCCCAGCTGATTCTTACGGAGTTTGCCAGGGGGAACACTTGGCCATATGACCTCCTGTCCAGGAAGCCCCCCCATCTTTCTAACTGCAGCCTGTCAGGCCAGCAGTACACCTGTGAAGGTTCTGTTCTGCACGCTATCTGTCTACCAGGCCCACCTATCTAGGGCCCCAGATGCCAGGACCATACAAATGCTAAAGAATAAAGAAATATCCACCTCCTAAGGACAGACACCCCCAATCCATCTGTAGAAAGGGGGGCCAGAAATCACCAACATTTATGGGATTCTTTGGCCCTAGAGAATGGACCAACCTGATTAAGAGCAACATAATGATTCAGAATGACCAGGGTCTATGCAAGGCCCGCAGTCCCAGATGCCTCGCTCCCAATTCACATAGAGCCTCCCATACATATGCCCTCTGTTGCCTGAATATTCCTGCTTCACACACACACACACACACACACACACACACACACACACAAGTGGGGTACTGGTGAATGCTGATCACTCTCAGGAGGATGCAGGAAAGCCTTCATTTGTGTTGAGTACCTGGTACAAATATTCCCAGCATGCCTAATTTCAAGCTACCCACCTGATGAACACAGAGGCCCAGAGAGACATGCACCACCAACTATCCCAAGCTAGTATGAGCCAGTTCCAGCACACCCCATCCCCTGTCAAATGATTATGTGCGTACAATGCACTTACACCCTGCATAGGAACCTCCACTCCCACCCAGATATATAAACAAAAATTAATTTACATATATGAACACACATGTACATTTCTACCCTCACTCTCCTGGAATATACAGATAGGCCACCTCTTACTACCTATGTTGTTACAAACAAACCCCTAATCAGCCTGAATATTCACATTCTACACCTACAATTATATACACACACAACATGGGCCTGTATACAAACATGGGCAACCACATACACCTAGATATAGATATAGATATAGATATAGATATAGATATAGATATAGAGAGATAGAGATAGAGATAGAGATAGAGATAGAGATAGAGATAGAGATAGATATAGAGATAGATAGATATAGATATAGATATGGATATGGATATGGATATGGATATGGATATTAATTCACCTAACACACTCTGAGAGGACACGTACAAGCAATACCAACAAATTCTGCAAGCATTACATTCTGGAACAGATACAAAGCGGACCCTAAGTCTCCTGATACACTCACGAATCCCAAATACACACAACCACAAACCACTCATGAATATACACCCCACACATTCAGATAGATACACGCAAAACACAAAAGCACTGTCAATCCCTTAACTCTCACTAATATGCATACACAATTCTCACACACCTATGGAAACACACGCTTGCAAATATTCTCAAGCCCTGATTATACAGACCCTCAAACTCTATGCACTATGCCACCTCTCCAGAATACAAGCTCATCACCTCGCCTCTTCAGTATGTAACAAAAGCACACTGTACACATTGTTTTTCTCTGGCATCACTCTGAGCATACAGACCACGGCCTGCTAACTACTACCAAATACATGTAGAAACACTTCAGTATTCTCCCAAGAAATACACTTTATGTACAACTAAGAACCCCATACACCGTATGAACAAACTGATAATTCATGCACCTGATGATAGATATAAACACAGACCAGTATACCTGGGCAAGACACGTAGAAATATCTCCAGCAAACCACAAATGAAACAACTTCCAAATTCCAAATTACCCCTAGCTAATGAGTCAGCTCTCACATCCACAAATACTACAAATAACCGTATCACACACCTCCCATACATAGATACCATCCTCCAACCGCTGTATAAGCTCAGAAACCATCTCTCCCTCAAATACTCACACCTCGGTTCCCAAAATATGTAAGCCTTAGGGCCCGACTGAAAAATGCAAACACGGAGCTCCAGCAAACATCCTTGCCCGGCCATGGCCCTGGAACACACAGTAAACTCCACACACACACTCTCCACAAGCCCCAAACAGACCCCCCAATACCCCGTGCCCTGCAAACATGCACACCTGTCTCCCCATACGTATGTCCCAAACACACTTCATGCCACATACACACCTGCACACACATAACCCCTCCCAAATTCCCCAGAATTCACTCTCCCATCTTGTGAGCACACAGCCACACCCCCCACACCAAACCGCACAGACACTCCTGTTCACCGGCATATACACCTCCACACCCTCCAAAAGCAGCCTCCACCTGCACGTTCAGACACAGGCATGGCCGCCCCGTGGCCAGACGCCCGCAGACACAACGAGTACCCACATGGCGCACACACCTCAGACCCGCCGCCAGTGCCCACGCCCCGATCCAGGCTGCCCGCACCCCGGCATTGGCAGCAGCCGCATCCCGGTCGGTCGGCAGATCGCCCGCATGGCGGGTGCGGGGAGGTGCCCGCTGGCCAAGGCCCTGAGGAGGGAGCCCCGGGACTGTGAGGAGTGGGGGCTCCGCCCCGTCCACTCATTTCAGGGACACGAGCAGCTTCTGCCGAACCGGAGGCGCTGTCAGATGCGGAAGAGCTGCCGGGAGCTGCGCTGTTCAGAAAGCGGGGGACACAGACCGACCCCGAGTTGGACGCTCACAGGCATCACTGGGCCGTGTAGGCCCCCATCACTGACCCCCAACGGCCAGTTGCTGTCAATTCCCGGTGAAAACACACAGAATATGTGAGGGTGGGGGTGTGAGCACAGACCCGGGGCACAGAGCCCACAGGGAGAACCACAGAGAAGAGGGGGCGCCTGAGGGGAGAGGAGGCCGCGCACCCCTTACCTCCCCGTTTGCCTAACGGACTCCGGAGGCCGCCATGCCAGGCCCCGCGTGCAGCCTGGGCGGCCGTTGGGGACCCGCCTGCCATTAGCGCATGCGCGCGCCTGTGGGAGCCAACCGCCCCAAGGGATGCTGGGAGCAGTTGCGGGACAGAGTCCCGCCCCCAGTGGGCGTGCTCGTGCGTCCTGGCGCGAGGCACCCTGGGAAGGGCCCAGGCTGTCCCTGCAGGAGAGGAAGGAGTGGAGGGAGGGGTGTTGTGAGGCCTCCTGCAGGTCCTCCTCCCAGGAACCTCCCAGCGCGTGTGCAGGGAGCACTTGCGACTTTAAAGTTGCAAACGTGCAGGCCATGCACTTGGCTGCCCCTCGGGACAGAGTTTGGGAGAGGCCGGCCTGAAGCACTGTCCTCGGAGGGGCAAGTGCCTTCATGCCCTTGGACTGCAGGTCCGTGGTTTCTAGAGAGAGTAGGTCCTTCCTCCCAGAAATCCGGGCACTGCATTGCACAATTCCTGCCAAGAACTTTAGACCTGGACACACTCTAAGAGAGCTTGCCCCTGACCCCGTTCCTCTGTTTAAATTCATTACGTGTAATAAATATTGCTGCACAGATGTTTCCCTTGCAAGACTGTTGTTTTAACATTGATCAAGACATGACTGTCTGGGCCAAATTCCGTTGACATGGCAGGTAGCATGGGAACAATGTCAACCTACCCGCCCTCCTTTTTTGTATTATATTGCAGAATTTCAGTTGGCAATTGAATGTATATATAGTAGCAAAATCAACTTACTGACTTGAGTTTGTCATATTTTCCAAGGAAACTGAAATTATAGCATCATCTTTCTGGTCATTTGCAAGAGGGGAAAGAGGCAGGAGAAAGACTCCTCACTACATTTTCCATTTTGCACAATTTGTGAACTATGCAAAGGCATTACTTGTTTAAAACATTAAAATCACTCAAATGGTAAACAGGTAGACAGTGAACAACATAAAACTCTGAGAAACGAAAAGTAGTAATTTCTGGTCTTGCCCTGTAGGCTACAGGGCCTTGCCCGGATGGATGGGAGCCAAGGGGAGGTTTGTAAGGCTGGGCCAGCTGCATCTGCAGGGCTCCCAGAACTGGGTGGAACTTGGGGCCATGGGACTGCTTCCTGAGGAATGATGTGCACACAGCCACTGAGCATGCTCCCTCTGCTGGGTCAGTCCTAATTTCAAACACTGGGTTCCAGGTGGCCATAGTTCCCATTATTTCTTCAGGCTGCATGTTCTGAATTTTGTTCAGAAAGTGTAGTCTGTGTTGAAGTCAACCAAGACCAGATGGGAAGCAGATTGAGGACCCAGAACTAGGGGGATGGGTCAAGAACTGAAATAAAGGGCACATCAGGTGACTTTGGGTGCCTAGAACTTAGGAGAAGGTTATTACTGCTAGTGTGTCTTTAAATTTGTGAGTTTAAATTTGAAAGGAACTGCTGGTTCTCGCCTACCTATCAGAGCCCTCCATGGAATGCCCCCCCAAGCCCACCCCAGCCCATTGGTCCTCGGCCCCTCCCCCGCTGCAGAAGGTCTGGAGCCCTACATTCTACAGTTCAAATCCAAACCTTCCCTCCACTGGATGCTGAGCAGCTGTTGGAGCAGCTCACTCTCTGGATTCTCCACTTGACTTTTCTCATTGTGGAGGCTACTAGGCAGCAGTGGTCAGTGAATGAGCCTGCGGGGATGGCTTCAGTAGGAGGTAAGACTATAGATTGGAGGGGGATGTTTTAAACACTGAGCTGTCCCTCAAAACTTGGGGTTAAACTGTGACACTGGGGAAACACGGTTTGACTGAAGTAGGGGAGGGAGCGAGCACTGGACCTCCAAGGACCTGTCACCCAGGGAGGCTGGGAGCCCATGGGAACCTGTGAGGGCACTGGCAGGAGGGCTCCAAGAGGTGGGTCAGGGTGGCTCAGGGAAATGCCTGGGTGTGGAGAAAGGACGGCAGCAGGCACGTGGTTCTTCCCAGAGGGGAGACAAGCCACTGCCACGTGTGTGTGGGGAGGAGTGGGCGATGTCATGGGGGGGCACAGGGTGGTCACGAGAAAGACTAGTCCTGTGTGCTGTTCTTCGGGCACCTGGAGCTTGCCCTGCAGTATCTTTCTAAGGGACTTGACCTGAGTTCACTAGAGCTAGTGGGGGCTGTGGGAGGGTGTTAGCCAGAAAGCTGTCCAGTGAGGCTATCTGTGGCCAAGTCCACAATGAAATGTCCTCTCGAGGGCT